CCGTTTTGTGTCCACAGCAAGAGAACGGGGAGAACGTCAGCAAATGGGGCTGCACCTGATTAAAATGCTTCTGTGTGGCGGAAGAAACGAGCCAAAATGGAGCTTCCCACTGGCGCTGCAGGTTAAAGCACAGCACTGCGAAGCTGTCCAAAGTCGCTGCAGCCTGAGCTCCATCCGCGGCCAGGGAGTGACCCACAGGGCGCGGCGGACCTCTCCTGTGTTTCCCCGCTGCTCCCCTCTGCTTTGTATTTCAGCAGATCTGCCTGTTCCGCTCCTCACTCTGTCTCTGGTGAGTCCTCTCACCCCCTGCAACTCTGGCCTGCACCCCAGTTCTGTATGCACAAATAAATAATCTTTAAAAAGCAAACAAACAAAAAAACAGGTGTAAGCCAGAGGTGCGGGAGTTGGGAGGATTCACTGGAGACAGTGGCACTCCCTGGCTGGGGATCAAACTGGTGCTGCAGTGGCCTGAAAGCTTCGCAGTGCTGCGCTTTAGCCCGCTGGGCCACCAGGGAGCCCCCGACAGTGTCTCGAGCAAAGCTCCTACGGTCCGAGCACGGGCAGGAAAGGTTTCCCTCTGCAGCTCCAAAGGTAGCCTCCAAATAAGCAGCTCTGCACACAGCGTCATGGGCCCCTCACCCCACCGCTGTTCCTGCCCCTGCCCCAGGCTGTCCCCCCGCAGCCCGCCTGTTTGGTGCCTTGTGGAAACAGAAGCATCTACGAAGCCCCCTCTGAAGTCCGGCTTCTCCCACCTATGTGTGGACTCATGTCTGTCTCTACCCGCAGCTGTCGAGGGTTTACTCTGCCTGTGCGGCGGCCCGGTAGGGGACTGCGTCAGGGCCCACGAGCGTTCACGTAGCTCTGGGGCCCCGGCAGGTAAGGACTAAGCGCATCCTACCCTGCTGCTCCCCACCCTGGCGAGCCCTCAAGGCTGTATGGGGGTCCCTGTATGCATCTCTTGTGGTCACTTGTGTGACTCACCGTGAGAGGGAGATGGTACTGCTATGTCCTTGGCCCACAGAGACACAAACAGAGAGGATGAAGAGGCTCAGTGTAGTAAGGTCCAGGCGCTGGGGCGAGGCTGGGGGCAGGAACCTTGAAACTGGGGCTGTCACTATCTGCACACCGAGAGCAGCCTAGCTTTGAGCCCCCCGAGTTCGGGAACTTCCTGCATTCTGGGAACTGGTAAGCGTCATTGATGAATCAGTTTTGAAAAAGCAACTTCCATGCCCTATCAAGGCTTACCCGTGTTCCCCAGTGGGCCCGGCTAACCCTAACCCTGACCCCAGCGGGTGCGGCTTCTCCAGCCCCCATGGAGGTTGGCAAACCTCCCCGGGGGCACAAAAAAGTTCCTACTTGCCAGAAACTATGCCTGGATCTCTCCATCTTTTTTAAAAAGATTTATTTATTTGTGCATACAGAACTGGGGTACAGGCCAGAGGCTCAGGGGCGGTGAGAGGCTTCACTAGAGACAGAGTGGGGAGCAGAACAAGCAGACTGATTGAAATACACTGCTGAGCGGAGCTGCGGCGGGTCAGGAGAGGTCTGCTGCGCCCTGTGGGTCACCTCCCTGGCTGGGGATCGAACTCGTGGTGAAGTGGCTGCAGCCAGCTTCATAGTGCTGCGCCACCAGGGAAGGCCCTGGATCTCTCCATCTTTTAACTGCACAGAACCTTTCACTCAGGAAGAAGGAAAGAAGAGAAGCAGAGAAGGGAGGAGAGAGGGAAGGCGGAGGGCGTTGGGCAAAGAAGCGAGTGAATGGCTGATGGGGCCAACTTAGCAAGAGTCCTGTGGGCTGAAGCTTTGGCTCCTGGTTGACACTGAAACCTCAGTGTGTCCTGAACGGGAACTTGTCACTGAGCCCCTTTCTCAACAGCTTCATTTCAGGATAAACTCAAAACAACAGACTCAGAGTTTGGGGACTCTATGAATGATGGGGGACAGCCACCTTGATCGCTGCAGAGAAGGGGGTTATTATACCTGGGGGAGAAAGGGCCTCCGGGAAGCCACCGAGATGAGCCCCTGCAGGTACCTGGCCAGGAGACTGGCCGCGTAGACAGCCTTGGGGCCAAAACCCCCGCCCCAGACAGGCCCGGTCCCGCCAGCACCACCCCCACCTTCACCTCCGGCAGCAAGCAGGGGCAGAGCGCTGGGTCCATGGCCAACGCAGACCCTGGGCAGGGCCTGCTGGGCAGAGGCAGAGGCTCCCGAGAGGGGCTTCCCCAAGACGCTGGCCAGGATCTACCCTCTGGTACCCTGCCTGGCAGCAAGTCCCCAAAGCCAGCCACCCCGGGCCCAGCCCCTCGGGCTGTGGCCCAGACTTAGGTATCAGCCAGAAACCAGCTGTGCCAGGGCAGGCTGAATGCAGGAGCCGCGTCTTCTCTCCTCCGCCAACTGGTGCCAGCCT